CATCATCGGGAAAAGATTTGATAGAGATATGTAAATAATGCATCAAAACTTGTTTGAACAATCATGGAAACAAAATATTTTTCTCTTGTGTTTTATTTCTTTAAAGAGGGAGTAAGGCTAGGGTATTCCTTCTTTTATGCGAGAAATTTGTGGGCTTTTTTTTTTTTTTCTTCTCTTTTTTTGTACAGGAAATTTGTGGCTCTATTCTGATAGCTTTCGAAAATAATGATTGAGTCTTGCACCAATAACTAACTAATTTGGGTAAAGTATTTAATGTTGAAATTATTATTATTATTCTTTTTGTCTTTACAGTCTGTCAAGCGTAAGTTTCTGAAAAGCCCACCCAGTCCAAACCCTCACTGCCCAAAGCTGTTAGGCGGGTTAAAAGGGCTTCTCAGCACTTTCGTTCTCGTCAGTTCTGCTTCTTTTAAAATAGGGAACAACCGTAAAGGGAAAATATCGGGATACATATATGATTTGTGGGGAACAGTTGGGGTTTATGATGATAAAGTATTATATTAGTCCTTCTTTCTTCTATCTTTTTTTTTTATTTTTATTTTAAGGAAAAAAAAAAGGCTTGGATTATTCTTGACCCTTCATCTCTTTACTAATACGAATTATATTGCCAAGGGTGATGATGATATGTTCCTACGAGTTCCACAGTTTCTTGCGGATCTACGCACACTGCCAAGGCATGGACTCTATTGGGGATCAATGTATAAATACCGTTTAGTATCTATTGTGGATAAGATGAAAATTAAATTCTACTATGCAATACACTAGCGCGAGATGTGGTGGAGCAGTTTGACTGGTTTAAGCCCCTCAGGCGTTTAATTCACACACCGTACAGCAAGGAACGTGAGTCAGAGTTTCTTGCATTGTATGTATGGAACATGAAGATACCATGGTGGGTCGTGTGTGGTGTATGCGCTACACTATTCAGAGCTGATTATGGTAAGAGAGAAGAGGTGTCGTTTTCATAATTTGCGTTTCTTTAACCGTATTTGCTGCTCCTAGTAATAGTTCTGTAATGATACAACATATTATTGAGAGTGAATATATCGATCTGATGAAACGTTATGAAAATGACACGGCCCCAAAGGCCAAGTTCATTAAACCTCGGTGTGATTATCTCTACTTTACTTGTTAAGGTTGAATTGTATGTGTATTATACTTTGTAGTGGTGAATACCTAATTCTAGCTTTTTTTGTTAGGGTCCTTTGTATGTTTTTTTTTTTTTAATTGCATTCATTTTTACTTTGGGGAGTATATTCAGTTTAATGGTTTTATTTTTGCTTTTTTTGGATGGAAGTTTGTTTTTTGACTCACATGCTTTACGTGAAGCTGTTTTTAAATTTCATGTGAACCTTTTTCTTCTTATTGCACTGTCATGCTGTGTTTGTGTGAATATCTTCCTTTTTGCTTGTTATCTCCCATCGACTTTTCCGTTTTTTTTTTCTTTTTTCCTTTTCTGAGAGCGATACATTTCCTCTGATAAACACATCTGAAACATCTAGATATCTCTCTCTCTGTATGTGTGTGTGTGTGTGTCATCTCTCTCTCTCTCTTTCACTGCCTTTGCGTGCCGACATCCATACTAAACTGCCATTGGTGAGTACTGAGCCTTCTCTTTCCTCCTCTCTTTCTCTCTCTTTCTCTCTTAATTCTTTAGAAAGTCATGAGCACTGGATATACCAATTTGGACGGCTCTCCCGATAGCCCCCCATCCTCCCTTCCTTCTTCTTCTTCCTCCCCTCCCTCCTCAAATGTTGGTGCGGAGGCGGCAGGGGTTATAATGCGGGAGTTCCCGAATATCTTTGCGAGCGACGTGCCGAAACATATACTGCAGGGTTTGGCCGACGGCGTGCAGAACATTATTCTTGGTGTTGGCCTCGGCGTCGGCGGAGTTGTGGCAATGCCCGTCGTGTTTGGCAAGAAGGAGGGCGCCGTGGGCGTGGCGAAGGGACTCGGCTTGGGGGTCGCCTCTCTTGTCGGCTTAATAATATACGGCGCAGCAACAGGCATTTGGCAATTCTTTCGCGGTGTGGGCAACACGAAAGATGCGGTGGTTGAAAGTGTACGCGGTTCCCGTTATTGGGACAGTGTGCAGGGAGAATGGGTGGAAGTGCATCTCTCCGACACACTCGCTGAGCTGCCCGTCACCGACGATGATCTCTTCGCACAGGCTCGGCAGCTGTACAAGGAACGCGCTGGGGAAGATGTTACTGCGGCAGAAAATGAAAATGGCGCGGTGGGCTCAACTGGTGAGGCAGGCACGAATGACTATTATGCAATTTTGGGAGTGAGTAAGACGGCGACGACGGCGGAGATCCGCACTGCATTTCACCGCAAGGCACTCGTAATGCATCCGGATAAAAACCCCGATGATGAGGGTGCCACACTGCGCTTTCAGAAACTACTGGAGGCACACAATGTCCTCTCCGACGAGGGTCGTCGCCTGCAGTACGACACCCATGGTGTGGTGGACTCCACACTCTCGCAGAAGAAGTCCTACACAGATGTGGAGGAAGGTCTCGGTGCACCGTTTTTGGAGGTATTTATTGGTCGAGTCACGGCGGCAGTTTTATTTACACCCAATGTTATTCTTACCAGTGAAGTTAAAAAAGAGCTTCAGCGTCGGCGTACCTTGCGCCTCGCACAACACCTTTTACGATACCTGGACGAGGAAAATGGAATTGATGCGGCACGAAGTGTAATACAGGATGCCGTCTCTACACGTGCTGGTCCCAAGCTTATGCCTATTGTGGCTCACCAGTATGCTGTTGCTGCTCGACAGCATCTGAGGGAAAACAATTTCCTAAAAGAGTTGGACAGTTTTGGTACATCAAAGTGGGAAAGTGTTTCACGTGTGATGGGTTTAACTGCTGTTTCCGGACGTGCTGCTTACAAGGCAGCAAGAAAGACCATCAGCGAGGAAGACACGATTGATATGATAATTTCAGTCTGTGAAGGTGATGTACAACGAACCGTATTACGTGCATGTCGTCTTGTCTTGTATGATTCCTCGGTTTCCAAAGAACAACGAAAACAGCGAGCAGTCAATTTACGAAAATTAAGTGATATGATTGATAATGTGTGCCATGAGCGTAGTACAATATTGATTTCTTAGTTAGTTACTTGATATTCGTGAAATTTTTTTTTTTTGAAACACTTTTTGCTTTTTATATTAATTTCGTTATATAGTTATAAGTACTTTTTGACTCTTTTTCTTCTTGCGTACGAACCTGGGGGAATTTTTTTTACCGCCTACAATCATTTTCTGTGCTTACTGTTATTGTTTTTTTTTTTTTTTTCTAACAGCTTACGAAAATAATGAACGAGTCTTGCGCCAATAACCAACGGATCGGGGTAAGGTATTTAATGTTGAAATTATTATTTTTTTATCTTTACAGTCTGTCAAGCGTAGGTTTCTGAAAAGCCCACCCAGTCCAAACCCTCACTGCCCAAAGCGGAGAGGCGGGTTTAAAAGGGCTTCTCAGCACTTTCGTTCTCGTCAGTTCTGCTTCTTTTAAAATAGGGAACAACCGTAAAGGGAAAATATCGGGATACATATATGATTTGTGGGGAACAGTTGGGGTTTATGATGATAAGGTATTATATTAGTCCTTCTTTCTTCTATCTTTTTTTTTTTATTTTTATTTTAAGGGGAAAACAAGGCTTAAATTACTTTTTTATAGTGTTTTTTTCAGCATATCATATATCTGGTATACTTTCTCTGTTTCACTGTGTTTATGCATGTCAAGTCTTTCGTTTTTTTCTTTTTCTTTTTTTCTTCTTCTTCACTTCTTGGTGAAACGATATAACTTTGAAGAGTTTATAGAACTAAGGACGACAACCTTTTCTGCTTCTACACGTTAGTATCTACCCATCCTAGCAATACAGAGTCCAATGACGGAGATGGAGAAAGATCTGGATGGTTTACTCCAGTACATGGCCCCAGGGAGCACATTAGATGATATTGTTGGCGACAGTGAAAGTGAAGATGAGGCAGCCCTCTATGATGTGGTTCAGGGCAAACGAACAACAACCGCACGAGTGGTATTGGGATCGGCCACTGGTGCAAATACACAGAAGGAGGTAACATCATTGAGTAAAGTACAACCAGTACAACATACCACAGGCCACGCGAGTGTGCTACGTCGTATTCGTGTAGATGACTTTTACGCTGATGTATCGGCTTTTTCAGGTGGTGGGGGTGGTGCGAGTAAAGTAAATCAACGGGTGTTGAATGATCTTCGAGAGATGACAATGTCTAATCGCTTGACATCAATGCAGTCATCGCATGAAGTGGACCGTTCAGAACGTGCAACGGTAGAAAATGTGATGGACCCACGAACACGTCTTATTCTATACAAACTGGTAAACAGTGGTCAGTTACGTGAGATCAATGGATGTGTTTCCACTGGAAAAGAAGCCAATGTGTACTACGCTGTCGCTGGTGATGGCAGTGATGCGGCAGTAAAGGTCTTCAAGACATCTATTCTTGTTTTTAAAGATCGTGATAAGTACGTTGCTGGAGAGTTTCGCTTCCAGCGTTACTGCAAAAGTAATCCTCGTAAGATGGTTCGTACATGGGCAGAGAAGGAGGCGCGAAATCTCAATCGACTTCAAGACGGCGGTGTGTTGGCTCCCGCTGTGAAGTTACTACGACAACATGTACTCGTAATGGAGTTTCTCGGCGAGGATGGATGGCCAGCACCACGTTTAAAGGAAGTTCGTTTTCCCTCTGCTGCTGCATTAGATAGATGCTACTTGGATATCTGCTGTACAATGCGTAAAATGTACGCACGTTGCAGACTTATTCACGGAGATCTCTCCGAATATAATTTGCTACTTTATCGTGGCCGTGTTGTGGTAATTGATGTTTCTCAATCTGTAGAAAATGATCATCCACATGCGATGGATTTCTTGCGTAGAGATATTGTAAACGTGGACGCTTTCTTTCGATCTAAGGGTCATCAGAAGTTATTCTCACTCCAGGACTTATACCGCTTTATCACAGCCCCACCAGCCGCACGTGGTTGGCAGCGCTGCGAAGGTCCAGACAATGCGGAAGAGATCCGCGAATATCTTCTCGAGTTGCGTGAATCTCGTGAGAAGGAGGGGATTCTCCCGGTTAACTCAGAACAGGCAAAAATAGATGAGCAGGTTTTTCTTAACATTGCCGTTCCCCGCAGTTTGGGAGAAATCGCAGACCACAAGGCTCCAAATGCCGAAATTGCCCCTTTCGTTGCGGAGATGACTGCCGATTCGCAGAAAAAACAAAAGAACCAAAAACATCGACACCATGATGATAATAATAATGATGAAGAGGAAGAAGAAGAAGAGGATGACGATGATGAAGATGAAGATGATGAGAGAAGCAGTAACCACAATGATGGAGATGAGGTTGTTAAGAAAGAGTCTGGCAAGGAGGGAGCAAAGCCGGCTCCCAAGATCATTGCCAATATGACGAAGGAGGAACGTAAGGAACACCACAGAGCTGTTAAGGAAGCTAACCGTGAGCGCCGCGCAAATAAAAAGAAAGTCAAGGCTGTAAAGAAGAAAAAGTAATAGCGACAGTCTATTCAACGTTTAACAGTGAAAAAGAGTTGAATACTCTTCTTTTAAAAAGAGAGAGAAAAAGAGAGAGAGAGAGAAATAAGAAATAAAAAAAAACTTGACGGAATAATACAACGAAAGTTTCTATAAGTAATGAGGGCGAAAAAAAAAAAAAAACAAAAAACAAATACACATATCCGTATGAGTGCAAAAAAGGCTAGTTAGTTCATACTTTTCTAACTATTTATATTTCTGTAATTAATCAAACGTATATATATATAAGGGTGCTTCTGTACTTTATGTGGTAGCAGTAATCTTAAATACAACATTACTCGTTTTATTACACCAGATCAATTATATATTTTTTTTTCTATTTCTCTATTTTCCCTTTTTATTTTTTTTTCTTTTTCGCCTCTTATCTCTTTGCTTTAATTGTGAGAGATTTTTTATTTTTGCTTTTTTGTGAACATTAGCAAGAATAGACGACAAGGAAGAAAAGCAAAAGAGGAAAAGAAAACTTAAGAAAGAAAAGAAAAATAAAGAGGGCTGACGAATCTCGTCACCGTTTTTATTATTCTTCTTATATATATATATTCTGCTTTTCCTCTTATTGTCGTCCTTCGGCAAGCGTTAGTTATTGTTTGGCATTCCTATCGTATGCAGAAGTAATGCTGCGGTGTTCCTCCCGACATCTTATCTTGGCCAAGCTAGGCCGCACAAAACTAGGTGCGGAGGTTCTCACACAAACACGTGTAGAGATGCGAGAAATTGAGCACTCTGATAATCGTTTTATTCGCTTCTTAACACGCCGTCGTCCAATTGATTATTTGGCATTACAAGTAGATGGTCCTATTACCAAAGAGTTACACCCGTCATTCCGTTACGTAAAATACTTTTGTACTTTTTTATTGACGGCACCGGTGTTTGTGCTGCTGATCACGGGTGTACTCTCACCGAGTTATTATGTGTTGGTGCCTAGTGGGTTTGTCAATGCGGATCAGTTTGCGCGGATGTGGGAATTCTCGCACTGGTCTGTTGTGCTGGCTGGACAGATATTTATATTTCTCATCTTTTATGATCTTTCTGTGTACGTGCGGTATCCTTTCTTTGCGCACGTGTTGGCGCCGATTTACCGGCGGTTCGGTTGGTTGAGTGTTCAGCGGCAGCAGCAGCAGCAGCGGGGGGCTTCGCTGACGGTGGAGGAGTTGCGGCGACTGCGGCGGGGGGCGCCGGTGAAGCCGCTGGGAGTGCCGCTGAGTGAAATGCGGCGAACTGCACAACAACAACAACAACAACAACAGCGACCAGACCCGTTTGGTAATCGGCGGAAGAGTAAATAGAGGCGATGGAATGAGAGAGAGAGAGAAAGAGAGAGAGGGATTCACAATACATTTATATTCGTGTTGGATTTTTTTTTTTTTGTTGTTGTTGTTGTTTTCTCTATCTTTTATGTTTCTGCATTACGGTGTTTATATCAGTTCTCTTCTTCTTCTTCCTTCCTTTCATTCTTTCTTTTTCTTTTTTCTTTTTCTTTTTTTTTTTGCGGTATTAGTTGTTTTTATATTGTACTGTAAACGTGCAGTTTACAACTTAACTTTTCTTATTATTTATTTATTTATTTATTTTTCTTCGTGTGAAATTAACTAACCGGGACGATATTGCGTAATGAACTTCGCATTACCAGCGGAGTATTATGCCTCTCAGCAGAAGGCAGCGGCAGCGGCAGCGAAGAGCACTACGGAGAATCCACCCACACTGTACCACTCCTTTGAAGATCCTTCGCATTTTCAACTGTGGGGATCTTCTCCGCAAGACCCAAATCAGAATAGAGAGGATTCAAATATGTACTATGGATATGGACAGCAGCAGAATATGCAGGGAGGCCCAGCCTTTGATTATCAACAACAACAACAACAACAACAACAGCAGCAGCAGTATCAGCCGCCAGTGCAACTACAACAACCCTATATTCAATCGAACCAACAATCACCTACACCAGTGTTGTTATCTCCGTCAAACAGACAAAATACACGATCCCCTCCACGATCTCCAATACCTCAACCTTATTGTCAAACACCAAATTATACACATCCTAGTGAAACGGTTACTTGTTGGGATGTACAACTCGCAAAATCACATGACAAGAGCAAGTTTCTTGATCACCCTTCTATTCCAAGGTTTTTACATTCATATTTGGAGCAAGATATGGCACGAGTACCACCGACTCCTCCATTTATTCGTCCAGTTAGTCGTCTTAGCATGCGACCAACATTTCAAACTCTACCAAGTACATCACAATTAGCAGATACTATTCAAATTCCATTAGGTATTACGTTTCAACCTTTTGCAGAAACTCAAATAGCAGAAGTTGATTTTTCTTCACTTGGAGGTCGTATGGTACGATGTAAAAAATGTTCAGCATACATCAATCCATTTACTACTTTTTGTGATCGAGGACATCGTTGGCAGTGTATTTTATGTCGTCAGTTAAATGATGTTTCTTCAGAATATTACTGTTCACTTGACCCTCAAACAGGTCTTCGATCAGATATATTAAGTCGTCCAGAGTTAACAAATTGTTCAGTGGATTTTTATCCTTCACCTGAGTTTCTACGTCGTCCACCACAACGCCCTGCATTCTTATTAATGTTGGATTGTTCATATCAATCTGTGGTATCAGGGCAATTAAGCGCTATTTGTCGTGGTGTACTTGCGGCATTGGAAAGTATGAAGGAAGAGGATGCCTTATACATGGGAGTTGTAGGATTTGCATCTACTGTTTACTTTTTTAATTTGGCAGCTAATCTACAATCTCCACGAGTTATTGTAGCACCAGATGTGGTGCATGATGTTTGTAATGTGGATGATAACTTTAAGTTTGAACCCATTGAATTACCATGTGCTGTTAATGAACTGGTTGTTCATGTAAAGGATGGTTACCGTCTTCTTAAGGATCTTTTTGAAAAATTACCAGAGACTTTTGCCACTACAAAAGATGTTGGTTGTGCTTTCGGTCCTGCACTTGCTGCAGCTATTTCAATGTTGGAAAACAGTGGTGGTAAAATAATAGCAAGTATTGATTCTATGCCTTCTATTGGTGAAGGAAAATTAAAACCACGGTTTGATCCTGCAAAATTATCTAATCAACCAAAAGAATATACCGTGTGTAGTGCAGCAAATGATTGGTACAAACAACGAGCCTTAGCATGTTCAAATAGTAATATTTCTGTTGATTTGCTTGTTAGCGGGTCACAAGACCTTGATTTAACGACCATTGCCCCATTATCTCGATTTACATCTGGTCGTATTTACCGTTCCACACCACTTACCATTCATGGATTATCAGATGAGGTACATCGTATTTTAACTCGATATATGGCCTTTGAGGCTATTTTACGTGTTCGTACGTCTAGTGGACTTGCAGTACCAAACTTTTATGGTCATTGTCATGTACGGGAACCAGATCTCTTATCACTTCCTGTAGGAGATGAGGATTCTTCCTTTTCTGTACAACTACAAGTTACTTCGCAACTTAAACATAGTTTTGCATATATTCAAATTGCCATTGTACACACTAATCGTAGCCGAGAACGACGTATTCGTGTGCATACATATCAACTTGCCGTATCTCCATCACTTGGTATAGTAATAAACTCTGCAGACTCTCTTGGTGTTACGTGTTTCCTTACGAAGAAAGCTGTTGATTATGCTGTGAATTGCCCTTTTCAGCAAGCCCAACAACGTGTAACAGATAAATTACTTGCCACCTTACGAGCGGTTAAAAAACACAATGATGGACTTGGAATGCGTTCTGGACATTTCATGCTTCCGGATTCCCTTCGATTTGTGCCACAGCTCCTGCATGGATTCTACAGGTGTGCGGCTGTGGGATTAGCGACGGTGAGTCCAATTCTCCCGGATGAGCGGGTGGCCTCCATGTCGATGGTGATGTCGACAGCACCGCACGCGATGGTTCCATACTACGCGGGCTGGTGCTACGAGGTCTACTCGCCGTACACACCGCTGGAGGATCTGCCCGTGCCGATATTTCCCACGCAGACGTTCTTCAAATCCGACGGCGTCTTTCTTGTGCACATTGGCTTTGCGCTCGTTCTCTGGTACGGCCGGCGGGCAGAGCGGGAGGTGCTGCGGGCATTGGGCCTCATTCCCGCCAACAGCGATAACAACAATAATAATAACTACATTGATGATAGTATCGGTGATGTTTCTCCGCAGCTGGCGGCCCTTCGCGAGCGGCTCGACGCGCTTGTCTGGCGGCTGCGGGTGGAGAGCGGCGCGGCGTACACCGCCGCCCTCGAGGGTTGCCCGCAGGGGAACACCGTCTTCGAGCCCGCCCTCACTCGAATGATGATGGAGGACGATGTGCGCACACTGCCAAGCTACACAACATTCCTGCGCGATATTTGGCAGAAGGTGTCGACAACAGGGAAGTGAGTACGGGAGAAGAAAGACAGGAAAGAAGGAAAGAAATAGGGAAATTGAGAGAAAAAAAAGAGAAGAAAATCAATGTTAGAGTGTAGTATAATTTCTCATTGGAATGTGAATGAGATCTCTGAATGAAATTCAGGCCTTCTTTTTTTTTTTTTTTCTTTGTGTTTCTCCATTACCTCTTTTAAGTTGTCTCATCCCCATCATTTGTATTCAGATTTCGTTTTTATCGCACACTCACCAAGAAAGAAAGAGAGAGAAAAGATAGGCGAGAGTGGAAGAAAAAAAAAAAATAATAAAAAAAAAAAACAACAAAAGCGAAAAAAAAAAGAAAAAGAAAGATAGGTGGTGAAAAGTAGAAGAACTTCATGAAAGGGAGTGTGTATGTAGTCTACTCTCTCTATGATTGTGGTTCCCAATACTTTTTACGTATATTTATTTGTTTTTGGTGTGTATACCTCCGAAAAAAAGAAAAAATATATATATATATTTATTTATTTAATGTTTTTTTTTTTCTTCTTCTTTACTATATTGTTCTCTCCACCCTTTTTTTTTTTATTCATATTTTCTTCTGGAGTTTGCTAGTTATAATAATTAGGTGCACCAATATGTACTACATTTCTTCTTTACTTGTTTTACTTTTCTGTCTGCTGGGGACTTCAGTGGTGGTGGAGGTGAATGCTGATGCGAAGGATGCTTGGAGTCTTTCAAAGGGATCTCGTGAAGAGCAAATTGATTTCTGGGAAGGTGAAATCCACAAACTTCGTAATGGTGAACTCGCCAAGGCGAATCACGCCCTCTATTCATCTAAGATCGCACTAGAAGATGCGAAACGCAAAGCGGGTTGGATATTCACAAAATCTGAAGATAAAGCTCGTATCAAGATGCTGGACGAACAATATGAAAAAAACTTGGCGGAAGTGGCTGTGTTGTATCGCCAGGAACAAATGATGTTGGCTAAAATAAAACCACTGTATGGTATTGTCTCCAGACACTTTGTACAGGAGCAGCGGGATACCATAGCTTCTGCAGTGAACCAAGTACAACAGTTAAGTTATGATCAGGCATGGTACAGTTCACTGTTTAATCTTCGGGATGCTGAAACCTTTACAGATATTATTGTTGGATTTCTTCTGGAGTGGTTGATGGGATATATTTTAATGTATCCATTTGCTGTTTTGTACTATGCGTTGTGGAAAGCACCATGGTCTATTTACGCATACTCTTCTGGAATTTCAGATGTATTTGTGGGTTTTATGGCCTGGGCGGTGTCTGTTTCTGTGATGCTTCTTCCCGTGTTGGCGCTTATTGGAGGGTTTTGGTATATTCATCGGAATTACGGTGATCGTGTAATGCAATCATTAAATACCGCTAGAGAGCGGGAAAGGCGACGTCGATAAAGAGTGTGCATTTACTTAAATCACAAGAAAGAAAGAAACGAAAAAGAAAACATGGAAACGTGTATGGAAGAAAAAAAAAAGACTTGTTTTCTTTATTCTCTTTTCTCAGAAAAAAAAAACAATAGTATATATATATTCTTGCTAATTTCCAATGATTATTGAAGCTGTCACTTAACTTAATGTGTTTTATCATCTCTATTTACAATAAGAAACCATGAAATTACATAGCTACTTTTCTCTTTTAAACAACCACAACCACACAGGACACTGTAGGAGCAAGATTAAGATACATCAAAAGGAGAAATTAAACAGAAAAGAAAAAAAAAGAAGGCTGAGAGGAAAAAGGAATACTTCTACTCGAGACTAGAGTTATACTGTGAAGAAGAATAAAAATGGAAGTGACCAGAGTGCATTTAGACCTCAATGATGCTGAAGAAACCACTGAAAGATCGGAGCTTATCATACCTGTATCATTGCAAGCGGTTCTCCGACCACATCAAATATCTGCCCTGCATTTTTTATGGCGAAAACTCATTGATGAAGGCATGGAAGAAATTATTCAAAAAAGTCGAGGGGCGCCACTTACAGAACTAGTGCGAATGTATCAAGAGATGTTTGGATGTATATTAGGACATTCTATGGGTCTTGGTAAAACAGTGACGGCGTTAAGTTTCCTCTTGTTACTACAACGACAATATGGAGTTAAAATGGATGCGACTGCACCGTCCTTGCGGGTTCTTGTGTTGACGCCGCGTAGTTGTACATATCAGTGGCAAACCTGTTGTGCGGAGTGGATGCGGCAGGAGTTATTTGGCGATACCACCTTAACGGTATACGCCCCACTTGGATCCCGGAGCACAAATGATATTATCTTAACATTTTACAAAACAGGAGGTATTCTTTTGTTGGGATATGAAGAATATCAAAAACTCCTACGTCAGGCAAAGGAGAAAATGACTGAACCACCTATTTGTCATCGTATTCCATCTATATTTGATCATGTACGACCACCTCTGCCGCTTAATCCTCAAGTACATTTATTAGATATATTGGAAAGTCCAGATCTGGTGGTTCTGGATGAATCCCACCGTCTGAAGCGATTAAACTCTAAACTAGTGATTGGATTAATGGAACATCTACGGGGCGTGCAGCTCCGTCTGGCTCTCACCGGCACTCCGCTGCAGAACCACTTGGAGGAATATAATGTGATGTATTCAGTCGTGACCGGCAGTGCGATGGACCCGGCGCCATTTCGTCGTCTCTTCACAACTCCCATTGAACGCGGTCAGTGTGCGGACTCCACACTGCAGCAGTTCACAGAGATGCAGCGGTGTGTGGCCTCACTGCGGAAGTTCTTCAGCACAACTGTACATCACTGCGGGCCGGAGGTGCTCGAACGCGAACTTCCTCCACGCCGCGAGTACGTTCTTCTCGTAGGGTTATCACCCCAACAGGAAGTGGTGTATCGTGAGATGCTAAAAAGACACGCACGAAGTGATAATAAACGCATTATTCTCGCACTTCATCATGAGGCATCACATGTCTGTTGTCATCCCGCATTAACACGACGAAGGGCGCATGAGTTGATGCACTTTTCAGATCAAATAACAGATGTGGGATGGACAAATAAAGATGGTGTAAAGCAAAGTTGCTCTTCCCACTTGCATTCATCATCCATGTCAACTTATCAATCCTTATCTTCATCGGTTTCATTCTCTGCATCTTCTTATTCATCCTCTCTCTCGTCCTCTTACAACTCATCATATTTCTCCTCTACGTCTAGTCGTTCATCATCATCATCATCATCATCATCATCATCGTCATCACGATCACGATCATCATTATTGTCATCAAAAGCTCCGTCTTTGGTAGTGTCTGACAATAATAATAATAATAATAAAGACACTGATCCAGATTCAGTATGGCAACGGTTAGATATCGCTGAATCACCAAAGTTGGCCTTAACGCTTTCTCTTATGCATCATATTAGTGAAAATCTAGGTGAAAAGGTGGTACTTTTTTCTATATACAGAAGTCACCTTTTTCTTCTTTCTAGGTTGCTGCATTTGAGATATGGATTAGAGGCTGAAGTCCTACATGGTGGTATTGAAGTTCGGGATCGTCAACGAATTATTGAGGAATTTACGAATAATGAATCTCGGCGAGTATTATTATGTTCTACAAAGGCTAGTGGTGTTGGTATTAATTTAGTTACAGCCAATCACTGTATATTATTTGATGTTAGCTGGAATCCAGCAGATGATACTCAAGCCACATACCGCCTTTATCGTTATGGTCAAAAACGTCCAGTTACAATATATCGTATTGCTACTGCCGGAACTTTTGAACATGTTGTCTTTTACTACGCTTTAAGTAAATCATGGCTTCACAAGAAGATTGTGGATGTAGCTGATCCTACTCGTTATGAACGGCATATGAAGGATAATTATTTTATTTATCCCTGTAGGTTGCCGATTGATTTTAGTCAAAATGAAGGCGAATATGATAATCAAACTGGAATTCCAAATAAAGATTCCGTGCAGCAGCGCTGGCGAGAGTACGCGGAGGCGCACTGCCCTGCTCTCGCCCTCACAGCACCGGACGGTACTTTCAAGTGGATACGTTCAATTGCAGAACATTCTTTTCTTTTACGTGATAATACAGAGGAAGTTATTAGGGAGATGAGTAAACGGTTTGAGATGGAAAAGCAGGTCTCGCGCTTACCGGTTGTTATGCAAAACATAACGACAGAAACACAACCTGTACGCGAGGAGTATGATTCTCCATTACAACGATGTGAATCAGCACTTCAATCTTGTTTCAAGGCGTGTGCAAGATATCTTGTGAAGACGGCAAAACAACAATACCATCAAGAAAATGAAGAAGAAGGAGAAGAAAAGGAAAAAGAGGTATCTGTAAAGGTTGAGAGTGGAAAAAGAAGTTCTAGTAAAATAAAAAAAGTTTTGTGTAGACTCTTTGCAAATGTTCTTGGTTTAGGCGAGACAACAGGAGGAATGGTAGAAATACTAATGCTACTCTTTCATCGAGGTGTGGATGAAGTTATGAAGAATATACTAAGTAAGTCATCATATGCAAAGATACGTTCTATGCTAACTACTAGGGCTTCTATGGATGGTTCCTCAAAAGATTCACTACAAGATGCGTTGCGATATCGACCTTTTGCACTCTTTGCACGCATGTCTTCTTCTGAAGTTGCGATTACATTAACAGAGATGGGGTTTGTACGACTGTTTGTACCATATTGTACGATTCTTGGTACTAAATTGGCACTAAAGGAGAACAAGGCAACCCCTGAAGTACTACAAACCCTTAACGCTTACTTTACTTGTTCTAATGAACCGAAAAACATATGTGATGAATGGAATGTGGAGTCTTCGCTGGTACGTTGTTTAGAGTCTTTCTGGCCTCCGTGTGAGGGACTGAAGTTGCAGCCGCCTCCCTACACAATTGCGGATATGGAGGCAAAAGAGAAACTTACGGAACGTGCGTATCGCACGGCATTAGAGCGCACTGGTGGGTTTCTCACAGCGAAGGAAGTGGCGAAGTTTATTGATTTGCGTTCTGTACGTGGTCGGCGTGATTTGTATCACTGCAAACGCTGCGCTGATGGTCTATTGGACCGCACACCGCCGGATTTCTTGTTGAAGTGCACTCGTTGTCACTATAGCGCGGAATTTGATGTACAAACACATATCACAACTCGTCATGCTTGTGTATTGTATCAACTCTCTGTTATTTGTGAACTGCTGGACGCCTTTTCTGTCTCTCGCAGTTTTACAACGGCGTTTGTCCCTCGTGCCTGTCAAGATGGGCTGCAAGTATTGCGACAACTTCGACAGGCAAATGCCGTGCATACATCACGAAAGTTTATCGCCGTTACATTGATTGCTGGTGTGGATGTGTTACTCCAACTGCTCTCCGATGAGGACGTGATGCGGGTTTGTGTGCAGTGCGGTGCTGCGGAACCCGAGGCGTTGCGGCGGCTTCTCCGAGTGGACTCGAATGGTGTTTGGAGTGCATCTCTGCGCACACACGTGCGGCGAGCAGTGACGGAAGCTGTAATGGGAAGAACAACAACAGGGACGACAACAACAACAACAAACAATATGTCGACGATGGCGATGCCGGAGATGCTTATAAAACTTGGACTGCGATCAATTATGCAGGGCTTTAATAATGGTGAGACATACGCTAAAGATATATTACTCAGTGGAGTACAGACGGAAGAGGCATCCATGATGCGATTTATTTGTGATGGACTTGTGAAACTTAACTATGCAGAGCGATTACTAGCGAATCCACTTAGTCGTGCATTGTTGGATGCTGTCATGATGGATTATAATTCACCTAGTGACGGTAATAACAGCAGTGACAGTGACAAGAACAATAGTGAGAATGAGATTGAGTATCAAAATTCAAGTCCTGGAAGAGAAAAACAAGGAGAGAGAGGTGATTTGGACTTGTCTCCATCTCCCAGTATCGCCTCTGTTGCTCGCCGTGTGAAGGCGAAAAAACGACAACGTTCACCAACCTGTAACTCTTCTTCTGGTTCATTCTCTTCTGCTCGGTCTAGTGCGTTATCCTCGTTTAACTCGTGTTACTCCGACGATGATGATGATAATGATGATAACAGCAGCAATGATAGCAGGAGGAGTAGAGCATCCGCTGCCAGAACTGCCGCCAATCGTGCACGCCGACAAATGATGGAATCGGAAGAAGTGCTACGTCTACGTTCAGTGCATTACTGGGCTGCATACTGTGAAGTGTATGGCACCTGCAGTATGGCCTCCCTTACAGTTATGATAGAGGATGAAGAGAATGGAATGTCTATTCTGCCGCCGCCGCCAAATAGTTTTTGGGTGAGTGAAGTGAGAAGAGGAACGCGGGAAGGGATGCAGCTATCAACTGTTGCGGATGCATTTCTTGAGAAGATCATGTCGTTGAGCACTGGAGTACGAGTCATCAAGTGAAAGGATTCTCTCGGGTACATGGAAGGTACTATCATGGGAGAGAGAGAGAGAGGGAAGAGATGGTGATGATGACAATCGATCTTCCCACCCCTTAAAAAAAAAAAAATCTAAAATAAATAAGAAGACCATTTTTTTTTTTTTTTCGTCTTTGGTAAGGGATTTTCTTGTAAATTGTTTCTTTGCATACTTTCTCTCTCTCTCTTTTTCTATTAACATGTTAATTGTTTCTTTTTTTCTGGATGATATGATCAAGCTGATAGCAAATGAGCGCGTATGAGGATTCCTTTGAAGACACGGACACGGACACGAACACCACAGCCGACTCCTCACATGCGCATTCCGAGTCGTCTCTGCTGGTGAGATCGACAGAGGCGTTATTACCGTCCTCCTCTGCGGCTGTTGCTGCTCCGCCTGTTCCCGTTCCGGTGCCTCTTCCACAGCCAGTAGAAGAAGTGGAACCGGCAGGCCCAACAACTCGCACAGCACGTCCACCAGCCGATACCACCAACATAGATCCACCATTTTCTTCTTCTTCTCCTCCTCCTCCTCCTGCTAATACTACGACGAATCCTGCTAATAGTGCGGCTTCTCTGACAGCTTCTACATCGCTGAACCAGGATAAACATGACTCTTCTCTGAAGGATCTGGCCATTCCACGGAGGACCACAACGTCTACGGACACTATGCCATCTAGTCTGGATATGCAATATGCGGGATTAGTAGCACCAAAGGGGGATGAGTTTCAAGTTCTTTCATCATATATTGCTTTTCGTGGAAGTTCTCAAGGGTCCGTGCGTGGAACTTCCGCCACAACAGATAGTGTTATCAAGTTAACTGGAGAGAGTGGTGTGGTTGCTGTTGCCGAAGTGGTGGAAGGAAGTGCCGTACTGCAGAAGAGTAGTCCTACCCCTTCTGCTCTTGATCATCCTGTACGGGAAGAGACCGAACAGGATACAACTATATCACGAATAGCAAGTAGTAGTGTCTTTAGCACACTTTCACAACACATGGGAAAATTACAGGCACGACAAGAAAATATAAACACCACAGGTTTACCAAAGGAACCGATGGTAACTACAACTTCAGAGCTTCCCCATGATGATAATGATGATGATAGAAAAGCACTCGTCAGTAAAACTCCTACTGTTACTATGAATGATGGTATAACTAGTGCAGTTATTGGCAGTACAAACATTACTTCTTCTCCAGCTGTGGTTTCTGTGTCGTGTCTTCCCCCACCCCCTAGTATACCAGAAGTACCACCAGCACCACAAATTACATTTTCACTTCCTAATGTAGCTCCACCAATGTCACTCACATCAGCAGTGACATCATCACGGTTACCTGGTATGGAAAATATTCTTGCAAATGTACCTCCGCCACTTCCATCACGAGATCCACAACAGGATCCAAAAATCATAGAATTACGCGAAACATCTGAGGCAGTAGAACGGTTAGTGCGTGCCTTTGCGTTGCTTCGTGGTCATGCTGTACCTTCTACTACGACAGGGACAGACTCTGATCTTCTTGCTACAGAAAAGACATCTTTTAACACGAAGGATACGGAGAAGTTATCAAGTTTTCGTCAACAACACGGTGTTGGAGATGCGGGGACAGTGCGAGTGTCTCAGTCGGCTGCTCATAGTCTTCCACGTCGTAGGTCTCCTTATACAGAGTTAGGTAGTATTAATAGTAGAAGTGGTAGTAAAAACAAAAAAGAAAATATCCAAGATGATGATGAAATGGATGAAAATAAACAAAAATCATTAAAAATAAATGAAGCTGCAGTGGAAGATGCTATTATGTGTCTTGTTATGGAACTTTTACAGAGAGATGCGAAACAACCATTTGAAGAGCGTAACGATCGAAAGGCTATTCAACCATCTTTTGAAGTGGTGGATATGGAAAATTTTAGGTCTTCTACTCATCCCCATACTGGCAAAGGACGTAAACCTGCACTTGATAAACTTGTACCATTTTCAGTATTTGAGGGAGGTATGCAAACCTTTGCACCAGATAATGCTGATGCTGCAGATTCATTATACCATAATATAATTGATGCACTACAAAAGTATGTTTGGTCACATGTATCGGCACCTAGAAATCAACGCAACTATGATAAAACTGGAGGAGGAGGAGGAGGAGGAGGTAATTTCACACCGGCTAGTGCTTTTTTTGTATGGGTGTTGTTGCTTGATTTGCTCTCTGTTTGTATGCAAGTACTTGAGAATCGACTTGCTGCAGGGGTAAACGACACTACTCCTGTGTGGATACAGTACGAAGGTCCACATGAGGCGGAGTCACTTGCCCGCAATGCCGTTCATTGTCTCCCATTTGAAGTATTAGACCCATCAACAGGAGAAAATGGGGCCTCCGCAGCAGCAACAACAGGGCGAAGACCTCTTTTCCGTATGGAGTATTGGGTAACAAGGAACACCATGTGGACAATCACAGAAGCCCTCGCGGCGTCTATACGCGAAGGTGTTGTTTCTCGTTCGGACGGCTATCGTGCTTTTCGTAGTGATGGTTCCCCGTCTTCTTCCGGCGGTTACGGCTTCTCTTCAGATGATATGGGAATGCTGGATCCAGCCGCACTCTGTCCAACACGGATTCCACTCTTTTCACTTGTGCCAGCAGAACGCACGGGTGGTGGACCACGTGAGGATTCATCACATGTCCGAAAGACATTTGCACGAAATGATGTACAGAATGATGATGGTGAAACCAATACGGAGGATTATTTTCAAATAGAACCACAAACGTTGGAGTTACTCGCGCACACCGTATCGACAGTGAGCACAGAGTTGCTCGAGCGCGATATTCAAACTACTGGCAAAAAGTATAGACAATATTATCAGGATGCAAGCCGTGGTGTAGCAGAAGCGGTATCTGAGCTCCTAAATGATGCGGGAATTCGTGCTGCCGTCCAACGCCGGGCGAAGGCGAAGATGGTAGAAATATCGGAGCGCCGTGAAGTGAGTGGCCGTGCAACTCGTGAGGAAAAGGAGCGTTCAATGATTGCGGCTGCAGAAGAGGAGGCGGAGCGGGTAGTGGAGAAAATCCTGCAGGAAATGCGTCTTGAAGAAGCCAATAGGAGATAAGTTTATTATTTATTATTATCTCTTTTCCATGGACCAGGCTTACCATCATGCCAAAATCCTTCCGATGGTGATATTGAAGAGGAACCACCCGCTCCGTACTGTGTTCACAGTGTTGTTTTTTTTTTTTTGTTTTGTTTTTCGTTTTATAGCTTTACATATATTTCTTTTTTTTGTTTTTTTTTTTTTCTTCTGTAACTGCGTGTATTTACTCTTTCCATGGATTATGCAAACGTCATGTATTTGAGTAATTACTTCTCTGCGCATATATATATATATATATTTATATTTGTTTGTAAGTATGTGCCGTTTGTAATCTTCGTGTGCTCTTTTACTATGGTGACAGGTACTCTTTTCTTCACTGAAAAGCTTACATCATACTAAAAACAAAAACAAAAAAAAAACACACGAGGGAAAAAAATAAAACATCTATTTGATATATAAAAAACTGAATTAAAGTAAATATTTATATATTTCTATTTGGAGGTGTTTGTCTGTGTGCCTGGGTAAAGTACCGTTTAAGAAGTGACGAAGACGAAAATATACGCAGAACAACAAGACAACAAACAAACAACACAACACAAGAAAAACAAAAAAAAAAAAAAAAACAAAAAAAACAACAACAACAAAAAGAAAAACAAAAAAGGGGAGGGGGATAGAGGATAAAAACCCTCTGAAAGAAAGAAAGAAAGAAGTTTTTCTTTTTTGTACTAATCTTACCACTTGAGTTGGAGAGGGAAAAAAGAAAAGAAAAAAAAAACCCAAAACCGAGTTTCCAAACAAAACAAAAAAAAGAAAAAACAAACAAACTGTATGGAGGAGTACAACCGAGAGAACGAATCACCACCACGTGATCGATCACGCCGTCGACGCAGCCGATCATACCGCCGTGGACGCCGGCATTCACGACACCGCCACTCCGGCAGAAAACGCCATCGCAGTCCATCCCGCAGTCTCAGCAGTAGTCGCAGTCCATCCCGCAGTACTCGCAGTCGCAGCAGCAGTCGTTCATATCGGCGGCGGAGGCACAATAATAATAATAATAATAATAATGGGATGGATCGCCCCGTCTCGGACTGGCTCTGTGGTGTGTGCAGCAATCCCAATTCGGCGAAGCGGGAGGACTGTTTTCGCTGTGGGACGCCCGTGGCCGTGGCGATAAACGCAACACCGTGTGAAGAACTGCGGATCGCCGGCATTCCAAACAATATCGACTTTGAAGATATTCAAAACGCCCTCCAGGCACACTTCGCGGCCCACGGGGATACGTGTAATATCATTGCATACCACTTGGATAACAACAACAACAATGATGGAAAGCCGCGGGACGCCCACGTGCTGTTCGACACCGTAGCGGAGGCCACGAGGGCCGTAACGTACGCCCGATCGACAGTATGGCTTGGCGAATCGGCGTGTTCAATGACATTTGCACAGCGCCGTCGTGCCAATCGGAAACCGCCCACAACAGCAACAACAACAACAATAGCAGTTAACAACAACAACAACATATCATCCATTAACACCACCAGCACAAAAGACCATCAAAGCGGTGGAGCGGGATCTACGGTAGTGGATGGGCTGCCAGTTCACTTGCAACCGGGTGTGTGGAAGCCAGTGTATCAATTCCCGTCGAAGGAGGCAGAGAAGGAGTACTTGGATCTTCTCTCAAAGCATTGGGATAAGATCTCGCAGCAGCAGAAGGACTACTACGACGAAGGAGTACGCAGAGCACTGTTAGCACAACACCGAAAGCAGCAACAAGAACAACAACAACAACAGGCCAAAAATGTAGCTAATTCCACAGGGAAGACTGTCGTTGGCCCTACATCTACGACTACTACTACCACTAGTACTACTACTATTAATTCTAGTAATAATAATAATAATAATAATAATAATAATAGTAATAATAATAATAATACCAGTAGTGCTTCTGCTTTGAAGTCTCATATTATTGCTAATGCTAATGGTGGTGGTGGTACTAGTACGCTTGTTACTACCAGTACTGCTATTAATAGTTCTACTCCCGCTTCTACTAGTACTGCATCCAGTGGTGAGTCATCCGTGGAGAGCCTCAAGAGGCGTCTAATGGAAAAGAAGCAATCGGTACAAAATGCTTCTTCTTCTTCTTCTTCCACGGAGCACACTACCCCAGCTGCTTCGCTTAAGGAAAGACTTGCCTTGAAAAGAGCACAACTCTCATCCGCGGCAGCGAAGACGCCATCTACACCGGAAACAGAAAATGCAGCCACTGTAGGAACTTCTTCCGCCTCCGCTCCGATATCACTCAAAGATGCTTCACCTGCAGCTCTCCATCTTTTCTATGGATTTCCCATTCCCGCACGGTTTCCAACAAAGACGGACTATTTGACGAACTCGAAATCACCATCGTTTCGTGCCGGTGTGACGTTTCGCTATGTACCTCCCGCTGTAGCTGAGCGAATTTTACCACCTTCTGCGCGACCACCAACAGTATGAAAGGAAGAACCATAAATATATATATATATATGAACTGGTTTTTTTTTTTTTAAGTGAATGTTTTCTTTTTCTTTATGTGATACTGACTGGTGGTGCTGTTTTATCCTCCTTTTCTCATGTGCAGATGTGATGTGTATGGACAGTTTATCTTTATGATTAGTGTTATTATTGTGCTGTTTTTCTTTTGTTTTGTTTTTAGCTCTTTTCTTGTAAACGTTACGTATTTTTTTACTTTTTATATATTTGGCGTACCTTCACCCTTTTCTCTCTTCATTTTTTTTTCAGCGCTAATAGGGAAAAAAGGGACCAAGTGTATAAATCTAATACATATACACATTGAAATTCTCTTATTCCCTGTATTATTTCCCTTGAGAAGACAAAAAAAAAAAAAAATAATAACGTAGGAAACCCTACACACACAATAATAAAACAAACAATAATAATAAAAACTATAATAATAAGCAAATATATACACCCAAATCATCATAGTATCAGAATAAATAAAAAATAAATAAATAAATAAATAAAAAGATGCCTGTGCGGAAGCGTGTCCTCTGGGATGAAAGCAACCTTGAAGCCAATGAGGAGTACCGTCGCCAGCACCCCGTAACGATGCACATAAGTGAACCAAAGACTCCGTATGTATATACAGAGTTTGACGAGGAGGGGAACTTTGATGATGGATCAAAAGGAGAGGAAGTGGAGGCGAAGAATAGCACGTGGGACCCGCAGATAAATGCGCTTGCACGACAGATGAAAGAGGGTCTTTCAAAGGAGGTGGAGGGCCCTGTTGCGCCTGTCAGCTCCTCAGGGCGGCCCATGTTGTCTCCAGACGTTACCAACGGCGATATGTTGGCTAAACGGCACGCGACGGAGTTTAAAACAATGCGCAAAGCTGTATATGCAGATGAAGGGGCAACCTTCAAGAAGTTACTTGCTAGAAAAGATGAGGACGATGATGAGGACGAGGACGATGAGGATGAGGATGATGATAAAGGTGATGATGATGGTAATGATAGTACTGGTGGCGCCAGTAAGAGCAAAAAAGGGGTTCTCTAAGAAAGGGGAAGGCAGTGTACAGTAATGGATTTCCTCTGTGAGTGAAAGAAATTGGAGAGATACTTAAGTGAGTCTCTTGTTGAAGCAAAAATGTGTTTTCACACATTTGAAGAGGGTGTAATGATTTTTCTGATGTTTGATGCCGTCATTTCATATTGGCTTTCCTACTGTTTGTTGTGAAGAAAAAAAAAAAAAAGAAAAAAAAGATGAACTCCACGTGTGATGATGGCTTCAAGAGTTTTGACTCATGATTTTTTATATCCTTCTTCATACTTCTACCGTGTGTGAATTATACCATATTGGTTATATAATTACTTGACATACACTTTGTTTGCTTGTTTTTTTTTTTTTTTTTTGTTGTTGTTGTTATTTCATTTTCTTTTTCTTTCTTTATTGCTTAGGATGACTTTAGACAAGAGAGAGAGAGAGATAGTGTTTTCTTGTGTATATGTGTGGGTTCTTGTGTATGTTTCTGTGTTTTTCTCTTCCATTCCTTCACGCCTTTCTGTTTCTTCTTTTTTTTCTTCTTCTATTTGATGGTCTCTACTGTTGAATAACGTTTTTACCTTAAAAAATAATAATAAACAAATAATATATTTTAAATCACAACAACAATAAGAGTAAACGGTAGATGTACAGAGAGTAAATGTACCATGAAAACTCTGCAGTTCCAAAAGGATGTAGAAAATATCTTTTTGACACCAGTGATTTTGATAAAATTCAACCCCAAGCCGTTGAACAGAGTGATATTCTTTCTGTATCTAGAGAGGATCTAATGCAGCTTGTGAAGTCTCTTCATGATGTCTATGCGGAACTCGACAGAGTGAACTTATTTTGCCGTGAAAAGGCAATGCGGGGCGTTGCTGTCTCTGCGTTATCACCAAACACGGCAGTAAACATGAGAAGACGTTATTTCTTCAAATGGCGTAAATGGTTAGACCAGCGGCATTGGCAACATCAGGGCGAATGTGTACAAGGAGAACTAGAACGGTGTGTGTGGTGCCAACCGCTATCGAGTGCAGTTCAACTCATACAAAGAAGATTGGGATTAGAGTTGGCACTGCGGCAGCAACAGGATGTTATTCTTATAGACCAGAAGGAGAGAATTCATTATGAACATCTGGCCGTCAGCAATATTGCGAAACATTGTAGAGATGCCGAAGGGCGTCTAAACATTGCGGTGGGAATGATTAGAACTATACTTGCCAAAGGACAACCACAACCACAACTATCATCATTATTATTATTATCATCACCACAAGAAGAAGAAGAAGAGGAACAGTCTGTACAAGTATTGAGAGTGTTACCCAGTTGTGAAGAGAAGTCTCAGGAGAAAATGAATTCCATGGTGATGATACCTCCGCAAAACTTTTATGAAAGAGAGTCTATGTTCAACAGTCGCGTACTTATGGAGAGAGAACTGCGCTGCGGTACTCGATTGTTTGGTAATTTTAGTAAACAGCAGCAACAAGAAGAAGAAACATCGAAACAGTGGATTCCTCTCACCACTAATACGGGATTTAGTGGAATGAACTTGCCTTTCCTTAATTCATTGGCACAAAAGAGAGTCCTGCCAAATAATACCTTATCGTAGACTAGAGTTTATTTTTATTTGTTTGTCATCTCATTCCTTTCAATGATAATGATATTACACTGTGTATTTGTTTTTTGTTTTTCTTTATGAGATTATTATTATTATTATTATTATTATTATTTCTATTTGCTTTCCTTTATTCTTTTGTTTAGGGAAGATAATGGAGTCGGAGGTTGTCATGAGGCTTAAGCACATAAGTGCTGCCTTGATGGGTTTACTACACGCCATGTTTACTTCCTATTACACGGATCTGTTTGTGAGGCAGTACATATTAGTCACAGAATCTCGGGATTCCCTTTCTGATGGTGAAAACAATAATAATAATAATAATAACTACTACAGTAAGGGAATATTATTGTACTTTCTCATTAGTCAAATATTATATGCTTTGTGGAATATTACAAAAGTTTTTGTATTTACATCTACTACCAGAAAATTATGTGCTTCGTTCATCTCACGCGTTCAACTTTGGCGTTTATCGCGTTGTGGTCCTATTTGGACAATAGTTTTTGCGCTCTTGTGGTTTCCCATAAATGTACAATCATCATTATTATTTTTCTTTCTAAACCCTGCTATTCAATACACGTTAATGATTGCAATTTATGATATTCTTTTTTCTTATTGTAAAACGGCATTACTTACACCATTTCTGCGAGAATCAGAGACTTATTATTCAGATATGAGGGCTTATGATATCTTGGGTGGTGTGGGAGTCTCTATTGCCTGTTATTTACGTGAGATGGAGGGTGGAGAATTGTATGCATTTCGTTGGTTCACAACCATTTCCGCCGTTATTGCTGGGCTTAGTTTGTATATTTGCGGGTTGAAAGAACACAACCAACAGAAATGTTTAGAACGAACAGAAGGAATGACAGATAATTCAAATGAACTTCTACGATTTACACAACAAACGATGAATCGTCCGAGTATGAAAGCTGCCTTCTTATTATGGGGTGTTCAAGGATATATGGATACCTTTACAATGTGTTTTTTCTGTCTTTTCTTAGACATGTGCCGTGGGAGTGTTTCCCTTCCGGTTCGATCTCTTTTGTTATTTCTTGTCTTTGTGGCTCCATATACGGTTTTTGTGGCCACCGCCCCCTTCTACAGTACAGTAGGGAAGAAACGTATTGTCAGTGTATGCTTGATAGTGCGAGTCCTGCTGGGCGCTCTGTTGCTTGCATTGGCCCTGCATGGGCTCGCATTCTTTCCCAGTATGAATAGCAAATCCTCCACGACACTGTTTGTGATATTTCTGTTTTCTAATCGTACACTGACAGGGGCGGTGCGATATATTCAGAATTTGATTTTTAGAGATCTTGTAGATGAGGATATTGTGATATTTGCACGGCCATACCAGACGACAAGTGCCACACATCAAGTACTAGAAATAGCTTCAAAACCATCTCGATCCTTAGCCATCTTGCTAACGTCTCTTTTTATTCGATATATACATAGCCATGAGAACACGAGTGTTCTTGATTATATTGCAGGTTTTGCTGCAGTGACAACGCTTGTTACGTCGTTGTTAGCACTTTGGGTTTGGCAGCGGTATTACAGTATTGACGGTTCTCATTTGCAGTTTATACGTATGGGAGTACGTAAGCGGGGAGATGAGGATGTGTGAGTTGGTGGTATAAATTGAAATTGGAAGGTAAGACTAGTTTATATATATATATATATATAGATGGTTAAACAAATGTCCTTTATTCATCGCAAACTCAATTTTTTTCTTTTTTTTTTTTTTCTGAACACCGTTTATTTTTTTTTTCTTGTTGTTTTTCTTGTTATTATTATTGTTATTATTACTTTTCTCTCTCTGTGCTATGATAAAACGATGGACTACTATTATTACTACTACGCCAACCCCTCATTATTTTATATTTGAAGTAAATTTTGTACGATATAAATTTAGAGTGCTGTGTTTGCCGTACACATTAGTTTACAAAGCAAACACACACACAGACACAAAGAAGAACAGAAAAGAAAAGAATAAAAATAAAATAAACAAAAAAGAGAAGAAGAAGAGAAAAAAAAAAGAATAAACAGAAAGAAGAAAGATGACATCACGGCCTGTAACTGCCATGCGTTCGCCTGGGAACTTTGGATTGACGGGAAATGTGTTTGGCGGCACACTCTCACTTGCCACCGGCGGGCGGCCCACGACGACGATTGGCGGCGGCACTACTTTGGGCCGCATTCAGGCAAAAGTGCAGGACGGCAACTTCACCTCCACCGTCTACGGCTTCATCCGTGATCATCAGTACGACGAGGCGATTGAAATTCTTCTTCAGCAATTGGAGGAATTCCCGCGGAGCCGGGCGGCGATTTCCCTCATTGCCTACTGCTACTACCACGTTGGGGAGTTTGCCGAGTCCGCACGCATGTATCAGCAGCTGGTGAAGATATGCCCACACGTGGAGGAGTACCGTGTGTATCTCTGCCAATCTCTATACAAGGCGGGCGCCTACGCAGAGGCGAGTAAGATGTGTTCCATGATAGAATCCGAGCAGTATGAGATGCGGCTGCTGAAGCTGCAGGCCTCTATTGCGTATGAACAGGAGGAGATTCCACAGACAAAGTCATTTCTGGAAAAATGCCCGGCTGAGGATCCGGATGTGATTGTTCTGCAGGGATGTGTGCTTTGCAATGAGGGATCGTATGAGGAGGCACTCGCAAAGTTCCAAGAGGCTCAGGCGGGATTAGGCTTCAAACCAGATCTCGCCTACAATATCGCACTCACCTACTACCGCATGCAACAGTATGGACCCTCACTAAAGCATATCGCCGAAATCATTGAACGTGGTATTCAAGAGCATCCAGAACTTAATATCGGAAGTAACACCGAAGGGAATGAGGCACGATCAGTTGGTAATACCCAATTGTTAAAAGAGACAGCCTTGGTGGAGGCATTTAATCTAAAGACAGCAATAGAACTTATGATGAAGAATACACCTGCAGCGAAAGAGGCCCTCACGGATATGCCTCCTCGTCTACAAGAGGAATTGGATCCTGTTACACTGCATAATACAGCTCTTGTCAATATGCCAGAAGATCCTTCAAGTGGTTTTAATAAACTAAACTTTTTATTACAAAATCCACCATTTCCTCCAGAAACGTTTCAAAATTTGCTTCTCTTTTATTGTAAATATCAATACTATGATCTTGCAGCGGATGTTTTGGCAGAGAATCCTCATTTAAGTTGGAAATATTTGTCGCAAAAGAATCAATCACTCTATGATTTCCTTGATGGACTTATTACTGCCCAGACTTCACCTGCTGAGGCCTATCGAAAGTTTGATATATTAGCACAACATCATATTGATCAACTTCGTAAACTTACTAAAAAATTACAAGATGCAAAACAAACTCATGATAAGGATAGTGTTCGTATAGCATTACGAAATTATGATGATGCCTTGGAAGAATATATTCCAGTTCTTATGGCACAAGCAAATATTTATTGGGAAATTGAAAATTATCCAATGGTGGAAAAACTTTTTCGTCAATCCGCAGAATTTTGTTCAGAACATGAAATTTGGAAACTTAATGTGGCGCATGTCTTCTTTATGCAAGAAGCAAAGTTTCGTGAGGCTATTCGTTATTATGAACCTGTGGTGGAGGCGAATGAAGAAAATCTTCTTAACTGCAGTGCTATCGTATTGGCGAATTTGTGTGTTTCATACATTATGACTGCTCTTAATGATAAGGCAGAAGAAATTATGCGCCGTATTGAACGTGAAGAAGAGAAATTAACCTATGCGGATCCTGAGAAACAACCATTACATTTATGTATTGTAAATCTTGTTATTGGTACTTTATACTGCTCAAAGGGAAACTTTGAGTTTGGTATTTCACGTGTTATCAAATCATTAGAGCCTTATCATCGTAAAATCATGACAGACACTTGGTTTTATGCTAAACGTTGTTTCTTAGCCCTCGCTATGCATTTGGCTAAACATATGGTGGTATTAAAGGATGCGGCATTTGAGGAGATTCTTAACTTTTTTGACCAGGCAGATCACTATGGTGAGAAGATTCCGGCTTTTGTGCACTCAGACCCTAGTAAACAGGATACCTCCGCTAAGAATACTGTGCGCTGGGAGGCGCGACAGCTTAAGCATCTATACTTGCAGTTGCGTGAATAGAAAAAAAAGAAAGAAAAGAAAGGAAGAGAAAAACAAAAACAAAAAAAAAGGGAAAATGAATGTGAGATATATATATGTATACGCGCTGTAAAAGCGCGTTTTTTTTTTTTTTGTTTTCTTTTTGTTTTTTCTTTTCTTTCTTCTCTTTAGGACTCACAAATGTGATGTAAGCATTTTGTTTTTGTTTTTGTTCGTGTTGTGAGAAGGCAAACCGTACGATGAGATTTATTATGAGGATGAAAGTTGAAGAATGAAAGAAAGAGAAAGAAGAAAAGAATGAAAATGAATGAATGTAGCACGGGATAACGGCATGACTATACAAGGACAACGAAGGTGACACATGACACTGAGAAGATGTTGACGTGCACTTTTTTTTATTGTTCCTGTCAAAACTCTAAAAAAAAAAAAAGGTTTCTTCCTCTTTTTTTTCCCTTTATGAATAGTATTGGATTCTGTTTTTTTTTTTTTTCTTTTTTTTTCTTCTTTTTTTTTTGTTTTTTTTTTTTTGTTCACGTGCTTACATTCCTGTAGAGATAATGTTTTCAAATGCTCTTTTATTTTTATTTTTTTTTTCTTCCGTTTTCTTTTCATTCTTTCGTTGGAGTTGTGTTTTAGAGTAGTTCCATCTGGTAACATTCTGCATACGAATTTCTTTTTTCTGTCTTTTATCTTTGATGTTATTATATCAACGTCGAATTAAAAAAAAAAATAATAATAATAATACCACTGTTGTTTTTTTTGTAATTTTTCCTCTTTCTTTTCTTCTTTATGCTTATTATTATTATTATTATTATTATTATTATTTAGATCTCTGGAATTGGGGAGTTGGGTCCATCTACAGTGAGGTACACACCAATGAAGGTAAAGATATTAGACTGCAGAAAACATGAGCACGCGGCGGGTGAAACCCTTGAGTTTCGCTTGAGCGAAGCGGACAACTCATTCGCCAACGGCCTCCGTCGCGTTCTGCTCGCGGAGGTTCCTGTTCTCGGCATAGAGTCCGTGACGATTATTCAAAACACCTCCGTGCTGCCGGATGAGATGATTGCCCACCGACTCGGTCTTGTGCCGCTCTATTCCATGAAGGCACGGCGGATGCAGTTCAGCCGCGATTGTCTCTGCGGGGGAAGTGGCTGCGGCGAGTGTCAAATCACCGGCGAACTCAAACTCCGCTGTCCATCCGATCAACACAGCATGCAGGTCTTCATCGACGCCCTGAAGATTGATGATGAGGAGGTGTACCCCGTAAGTTCAGAGGAACGTGGTATTTGGCTTCTCACACTTGGTCGTTCACAGGAATTAAATCTTCGTGTGGTGATTCGTAAAAATATTGCCAAGACACATGCAAAGTTTATGCCAGTCGCCACTGTGGCTATGCGTTACGCATCCGATATTGTACTAAACTCCGATGGATTCTCCAAACTAGATGCGGAAGAGCGGCGACAGTGGGTAGAGCGATGTCCGAGGCAAGTATTTCGACATGATGAAAAGGCAGGACAAGTACTACTTGCAGATCCCGATGCCTGTATTTTCTGTCGTGAATGTCTCTCAAAGGAACCACCGTTTAATAAGTTAACAGAACCACTCGTATTTGTACGACATAAAAAAGATAAACGAGGTTATTATGACTTTACTTTTACAGTAGAGTCCACAGGGGCTCTACCAGTACTTCAACTTTTGTATGATGCTATTGATGTTCTTCGCCGTAAACTGGAAAGGGTGCGGAATGGTCTTATGGAAGATCCAAATGCTGAAGAAATGGTTCAAACACGTCCTATCGGTGGTGCCCCAACAGCACCAGTTGTGGTGAATGAAGACATTGTCGAGCGTGAAGGAGCTGAAGATAACCTTACATTCGTGATGAATTGATGGTAAGTGGCTGTGTTGGCTGCTGTAAATCACCACTACAATCAACTACTACTAAGTTCTTTTTTTTTTTTTTCTCCTTTTGTGGTGGGTGGTGAGCGTTCTTTCATTCGCTTGCTCCCTCACCCCTTTTTGTTTGGCGATTGTTGTTCTTTTTTTTTCCCTTTGTATATCCTTTCTTTTCATTCTCTGCAGTGTACCCTTGAAATGTACTCTCTCTCTCTTTCTTTATCTTTCCTTCTTTAAATGTAGGCCTTCCAGCAAGCAAAGGTGTGGTGGGCGTTGAAAGATGAAAGGGGGCGTCTCACCGTTACCGCAACTCCCGCCGCAGCGCTCAAGGCCGCTGAAGGCGCCTGCGCGTTTGGGCCGGCGGCCGGATGGACCGGAGAGCATCGCGCGAATGGCGGAGGTTGGAAATATTCCCGCCGATGCGGATCTCGAGCGGATGCTCACAACAGACGGACCCTTCAAAGCCAAACGGGCGCCTTTGCATAGAAACACGTCTCGTGTCAGTACGCGGGTGATGACGGATGTTTCTCCGTATAATCGTTTGAATGGAGTTATATTAGATGTTGCCGATATTAGTAAGATTCCTGGTAAGCTGAACTTGAAAGATCTCAGAGAATGGGAATCCGCACAAGGAAATGATTCTCGAGGGGCATCTACTGTAGATCCTTTGATCGGTATAGATAAACAACAACAGTACATGACATTTCCACCACCCTATTCAAACTCACGTGATGAAACGAGAACTTATGCAGAATTACTTGATGTTTACTCAATGCATGAATTTATTATTCGTAAAGGTGTAACACTTCGTAATACACCAGAATTTGCATCCTTTAAGCGTCGCTATATTGCATGCTGGGGCAATGTAGAACTTGTTATACGAAAATTGGAAGAATTTCTAAAAAATTATGGTATTGATTTAGCTTATGTAGATGGTAAAAAGGTTGCCGGATTAGCCACCTATCAAGTAGACGATCTTCTCTCTAGGGAAGAAATGTTACAATGTCTTGCTAATCGTGAAGAGGTGGAACCTCTCACTAGCAGTGTGGTTCAACAGTATGCTTGTGGTATGAGTGGTCAACACTTAGCTGCAGAGAAGATTCAGGCAACATGGCGTATGTATTTTCAAAGAATCGCCTATCGACACCTACTAGTAGGTACAAAAGCTGCTATTATTATTCAGCGTAAATGGGCATTGTATAGATCTCATCGATTGACCAAAAGGACTATTAAAATACAAAGAGAAACAAGACTTCTTCGCTGGAAAAAAACTATGGAAGATTTTACTAATAATTGGCCAAAAATAAAAGAAGGTCGTCGATTGATTATTCATTTACCTTCACTTTCATATCCTCGATTTCATGCTAAACATGTACCTTTTTATGTCGCTATGCAAATGGGACAACTTACACGTTTAGCTGATTTACGTGATCCTAAAGTTGATGTAGTACTTTTAGCTCCATTTAGACCAGAACAAGAAGTTTTAGATTATTATCACAATCTTCTAGAAAATTCTGGTATACAAAACTCACGTGGTAGGTTTACATTATTAGTACCAGAAGATGCAAAAAGGCTTCCTGAAGGTCTTAGTCTAACACGTTTAGTTGTTTTAAGTTCACGTTTGATGAAATGTTTAGCGGCTCTTTGTAAGAATCGAAATGCCTATGTTGTTCCAGGTGTTATTGGACCAGAAGAACTTTCTTTCGCAGTTGAATTAAATCTTCCAATGTTAAGTGCAGATCCCACTATTGCCCAAGCCTTTGGTACTAAAAGTGGTTGTCAACGATTACTAGACCTTGCAGAAGTTAACAAACCTGTTGGAGTACATGGTTTACGTAATAGACAAGATTTATTATCGGCATTAGCAACACTTATGATTGAACATCGTGATATTACAAGATGGCTGGTAAAACTAGAGACAGAATCTGGTGGTCGTGGACATGCTTACTTTGATGTGAATCGTATTCGTGTACTCAGAGGCGATGATCATTCTCGTAAAAACTATCTTGGAGTTTTAAATGAATTAGAAGAACATGCAGGAAAACGTGCACGATTAGTACATACGAATAGTTATCCAGATTGGGAGTCCTATGCAGCGATGTTTGATGTTGTTGGAGGATGTGTGGAAGCTGTTCCAAACCGAATAAAATCTTCCTTAACAGCCAATCTTTTTGTTGAACCCACTGGTGCCGTTAATTTACATTCCGTGGTGGAACCCATGCTTGCACCTGCTTATACTGTTATGGGTTGTCGATTTCCTCTTCAAAAATTTATTCCATTTACAGAAGTTCGTGAGGCGGCATTAAGTGTAGGTAAAGCGGCCTTTCGCAGACGTATTATGGGATATATGTCTGTAGATTTTGTTTTCTGCGATGCTGGAGATGGTGAGGAATCATCACAGCAACTTTGTGCAGTAGATGTGGATCTTTACCTAACCAATAATGCCGCTGCCCATAGCTTTGCCTGTTTAATCACCGATAGTGAATGGGATGATGAGACGGGATTGTGCTACTTTCGTGGTACTCGACAGTCTCTTTACTATGCGTACAGTGGATTGATTCATTCTCCCTTTATTTCAGCTGTGAGACACAGTAATTTCTTTTCTCTCTGTCAATCGAGAGGACTCTCATTCGATACTGAACGTCATGTTGGTCTTGTCTTTCACATGGTGGATGTTCTCTTGCGAGGCTGTATTGGTGTACTTTCCGTTGGGAAGGATAGAAGTTACATCACGAGGATCATGAAAGAGTTTCAAAGCTTACTTAATCTGGAACTTCCCAAACAGAGTGAACATTCATCAGAAAGCAATTTTGTCTATTTTTCATCAGCCATACACCAATTGGTACGGTCTGTTTCTATTTCAAAGGGAATGTAAAACTGTGCAGAGAGAGAGAGAGAGAGGCATATCCATAACGTGTGTACACAAACACAGAAGAAAGAAGTAAAAAGGATAGTTGTGATGGTAAATACATATGTATGTGAATGAAATGGGGTGCCTCATTTTTTTTTTTTTTTTCTTTTTTGTCTTTTCTTGTTTATATCCCTCATTTTTTTTTTCTCCAGTTTATATATATGTGTGTGTACAACTGTATCATCATTGGTAGTTGAGCTTTGGTGTCACGTTATTCTCTGTTTTTTTCTGTTTTTTATTTTTCCTTCTGCTGTTCTTTCTTTTTTTTTTTTATGTATTGATTTGTTTTTTTTCTTCTTTCTGGAGTATTTGAGGAAGAACTCCTTTTATTATTATCATTATTATTATTTCTAGTTGAGAAGCAAACAAACTCAGAAAAGAAAGGGGGGAAAAATAAAAAAAAACTACTTCCACGACAAATTATAAACAACAACAACAAGAACGAAGGGGAAATAACACACACACATACATACAGGCAGACAAAGTACCAGTTGACAATGTCTGATGAGAAGAATGCTGTTACTATCCCCGTCCTCTCAGAGGATCCTAAAGAAAGGAAAGAAAATGAAAAGAGATTCCGTGATACTGAACCATTAAAGATGAGCGAAGAAGACGCGCTTATCAAGAGTCAAGTGGAATTACTTATCAATCGTGCTGGGGATAGTAATACGGCATTAGCTTTTACTGCCGTTGAGCAACTTATTGATTTATTAAGGACACACACAGGAGGTAGCGTCGCCTCTGTTCCGAAACCACTCAAGTATGTTCGGGCAATGTATGGACAACTCGAAAAAATTCTTAAAGAAACCAAAGATCCTTCTCTTGCGGTACGTCTTCATGATGTTTTATCATTTGTGGCTATGACGATTGAATTTCCAGATGGACGACGAGGTGCACTTGAGCACAAATTACAGGGAACGCGGGATGATCTCGCACAGTGGGGCCATGAATACCTCCGTTTTCTCGCGGGTTCTATCAGTGCAGAGTGGAAAGAGCGTACCAGCAAAGCCGAAGGTGTTAACGATTTGACAGACTTTGTAAAACAGATAGTAAGTTATATGGTAACTCATCAGGATGAACCAACTGCTGTGGATCTTCTTATGGAAGTTGAGGATATAAATGCCATACTTCCACTAGCTGAGAGTCATAATCACAGACGCATTGCGAATTATTTGGCAGCAGTCAGTAAGTATTTAACACGTCCTATGGATACAGCAGCACTTCGTGTGGTTTATGATATTTACGTCAAGATGGAATCCTACACTGAAGCGATAATGATAGCACTTCGTTTGGGAGATCGTGCATTGGCTAAAAATTTATTTGAAAAGTGTCAAAATCCGGCAATGCGTTTACAAATGGCATTAAGTTGTGGTCGTTATAGACTATTTATTGAAATTGACAATGAAGAAGAAGATTTATTAAATGAGGCTATGGGGAATATGCAGTTATCACAACTTTACCGCCAAGTTGCACAAGATTTGGATGCAATGGCCCCTAAAACTCCTGAAGATGCCTTTAAAACTGGTCTTGATGGAAAAGAAGTAATTAATTCTTCTGACAGTTCATTTAAATTGGTATGCTCTTTCGCAAGTGGTCTTTTAAACTGTGGTTTTGGAAAAGATACCTATTTAACAGAGAAGAGTCCTTCATGGCCCTATGAATTAACAGAAAATCGTCTCATCGCCACTACAGCTATGTTGGGACTTATTCATCTTTGGGATCATGCAGAAGGTTTACAAGAGATTGATAAATATTTATATGCAGAGGCCACAAATATAAGAGCTGGTGCTTGTCTTGCTGTTGGTGTTGCCATGTGTGGAGTTACAAACCCGTTTGATCCTGCATTGGGTCTTCTTTCTGAAAAAGTCAACGCCCCACAAAAAGAAGTTAAAATTGGTGCTATCCTTGGTCTTGGTTATGCCTACTCTGGAACTCAAAAAGAAGAAATCAAAGAGTTACTCATACCTACTTTGGCAGACAGTGAACAAGTATTGGAAGTACAATGTTTAACAGCGTTTGCACTCGCTATGGTTTTTGTTGGTTCCACTGATGAAGACCTTGCAGAAACCATGTTGAATACTTTAATGGAAATTCCAGAGGAAAATCTTAAAGATCCGGTGGTATCTTACTTAATATTGGCATTAGGTTGCTTATTTCTTGGTAAACAGGAAGCCGCCGACACACTTCTCGACGCCACACATGCTCTTTCACCTATAATAAGACGTTACACTGAAATTGTGGTTTGCAGTTGCGCTTATGCCGCTACTGGAAATGTTGTTGTAATTCAAAACTTTTTTCACGCTATTGCTGAGAATGAAGATCCTGATGAGATAACAGAGGAAGGAGCAACAGAAGAAAAGAAACATGATACAACTGCAAATATTACACCAATGAACCACAAAGCTGCGGCTGTTTTAGGTATTGCATTGGTGGCTCTTGGTGAAGATATTGGAGTGGAGATGGCAAAACGATCCATTATTCACGCATTATTGGTTGATACAGTCAATAAAGGACCTGCAAATATGTCAGGAAGATATGCGATTCCGCTAGCATATGCGCTGTTATCTGCGTCTAATCCAAGTATGCCAGTTGTGGAAACGCTTAACCGTCTTTCTCACGATAGTGATATACCCACCGCAATTAATGCTATTCTTGCAATGGGAATAGTCTCAGCTGGCAGCAATAATGCCCGAGTTGCAAGTAAACTACGTAATTTGGCTTCTTATTATCATAAGGATCGATTTGCACACCAACTCTTTTCTGTACGACTTGCACAGAGTTTTACAATGATGGGTAAAGGTCATTTAACACTCTCCCCACTTCAGAATGATCGTGCATTGGTATCTCCAACTGCACTTATGGGACTTCTTGGATTTTTACACAGTGCCCTCCAATATGAAAAGACTATTCTTGGAAAGTATCATTATATGCTTTTGACGATTGCCCCTAGCATCAGCCCTCGTATGGTTCTTCCTGTGGACTCAAAGCTAGAAGTGGTGAAAGATGGTGTGCAGGTGCGTGTGGGACTCCCTGTGGACACGGTCGCAGTGGCAGGAAAGCCCAAGACGATTACAGGATTTCAGACCCTCAGTACACCAGTGCTACTTAATGCGACGGATAAAGTGGAGATGGCATCGGGGAAATATCATGCTGTTGCAGCAGTTGTGGAAGGCGTCTTTGTCGTCGAGGAAAAGCCAAATGTTGAATAGCTAGAGTGTCAAAATCAGGATGACATATCTTTATTAAATACACAACAAAAAAAAGAAAAGAAAAAAAAGAAAAGAAAACAGCTGAATGAATAGGTGTGTCTGTACTGCTGTTCGGGAGAGGTGCGAGAGTGAAAGAAACGAGAATGAGAGAAAGGGAAAGGGAAAGAGAATGAAAAAGAAAAATAGTCTCCGTGTATGTGAGAGAAAAAAAAAAAAAGAGCGAGCGAAAGAAAGAAGAAACCAACCAAATGATTTGTTGCATGTTTGTGTGGACGAGTTTGGATGATGCGAGAGAGAGAGAGAGAAAAAAAAAAAAAGGAGTGAAGAAAATAGAAATTAAGGATAAAACAGGGATCATGTCAAGATGAACTGACAAGCTTAGTGCATTATCACCCACACAAACACACACAATCTCTCTCAAAATGTGATTATTAAAGGGTTTGTCGTCTGCGCATTTGCGTTTCTTATACTTCTCTTTCTTCTAACTTTTCCACCTTCTTCTTCTTCTGTTTTTGTTTCATTCCCCTTCCCTTCTTCTATGCTCGGTAGGAAGCGACCATATGGTGAAGATGTTCTCAAGTATGATTATATATTTTGGCTTTAATTGTTTTTATTTTTTTTATTTTATTTTTAATGTTGTAAAAAAAATTCAAAGAGGAATAATTATCACCGCTTATGTTTTTCCCCTTTTTTTTTCTTTTTTTTTTCTCTCAATAGCAACGTGCAGCAAGGGCGACGCTAAGTACAGCAGCAGAACTAGCAAAATAAAAAGTAAAAATAAAAACGCTTGATTGTGGAAGTGTGTGGTGCTGTATAAAATGAGAACCATTATGGTGTTATTAACCCTTTTTACCTTGTTGTTGGTTATTCAACTACCTTATGTGGGGGCGCAGGTGCCGTCACAGTGTGAGGTTGGTCGCATTAGCCTTAAGGATGTTCAACCCTTTACCACAAAAACGGATATGTTTGGTGAAGAGGCTAATATGACTTTCCACTTCTGTGGTAAGGCGGGAGAGGATAGCATGTGTAAGGGTATTGGTGTGGGATATATTGAAGTCTCAACGGATATGCAATGTGTGGAGTCCTTTGTGACGATGGTGAATCCACTGAACTTTAGCGTGGGAGGAAATTCGACATTCTTCACTGTTGCCAATTCCAATGGCACTTCCCTTTTCCGTGTGAACATGGCGTGTGATGAGGCTGGCGCTCCCGGTGTGGTGCGCTACGGCGGTGCGGGGCGTGTCGTCTCTGGCGATGCCCCCATGGACGACAGTGCCTTCTTTTCTTCCTCCTCGTCTTTCTCGTCTTCTTCTTCCTCATCGTCTTCTTCTTCCTCCTCCTCTTCGGCTTCTTTTTCAATGATGATGTTTGAGGCGAACTTCAGCTCCGTCGACGGGTGTCCGTCGCAGCGGTACTTCTGCAACTCGACGGACGACTGCGTGGGGGCGCTGTGCGTCGGCGGCGTCTGCGTGGACGCGTCGTGCGTGGCGCTGGCGGGCGTCGCGGCGGGCGGGGCGGCACCGGCGGTGTTCGTCGGGCGGGTGCGGGCGGCGGATTGCGGGGGGCGGCCGCTGCGGGGCCTCCACCGGCCGAACATTTCCGTGCGGCTCGACGGCGCCGACATCGACGCCCCGCCGCTCGCCGCCACCGTCGATTCCGTGCGCCAACCGGCAGGCAGCGGGGCGCTGCACATCACAACTCTTCTCGTCCAGCAGCACTCGCAGGACCCCGCTGAGCTCCGGCAGCCACTGCACGATCTTCTGGAGGCCATTGAAGCCGAGCAGAACAGTCAGCACTATATCGCACTCGTCATCTTGGACGGGTCTTCCCATCCCATCACCGTCCAGCCACACACAACCGATCTTACAGTGATAGACAAAGCGATTGAAGGTCTTCCAGTAGCCACACCCGATCCACAATCAAGTAACCTAAATGGCGGTATAATATTCACGCTGGAAGCTACTTATGGTTTGTGTTATGCATTTGATAGCGATTGTTACACCTCAATTGTCATCTTTTCTGACGGTTACGATACAGCAGGACGCGTGACAGAGGCAGAAGCTATTAGTAAGGCACAAGATTTTGCCTCTAAAAATGTTAGTATATTAGCATTTGGAACAGACAACAGTTCAAATTCAGTTTTTCTTCGACAGGTTGCAAACACTGGATATTTTGATGAGAATTCAGAAGATTCTCCAATGGGGGTTTTCCAGGAAATGGCAAAGCTTATCACTTCAGCTCAGAACAATGTGTACGATGTTTTGCTCTGTGTTCCTAACCGTAAAGGGAATGTTACAGTATCTATATCGCTGAATCCACCTGAGACTTATCCAAATGTGATTCCTTTTGAATATATTCTTAATACCGATGGATTTACAGGTGGGTGCAATGAATCTCTTCTTAATGATACCATCGCTGGTCTTGAGGACGGATCAGCTTCTATTATTGACTCTAAGTTTCTTTCACCTGGTGGACTCATAAATGAAACCGTAGACGCCTATGGAAGTTTCTTCTTCCATACCAACTGCAGTGATGACGACTGTGTTGTGAGTGCAAGTACTAATGTCACTATAGAATCTGATGCCTTTACAGTGCTTGTACTTGCAGAACCTCGCTGTCTCTTATCACCGTTTTGCTTTGATGACAGTTTTAATGATACATATATCCTGAAGAACAATGCTTCAGTTAACTACCAATTTATGTTATTGTCTAGTTTAGATCACCCAGCATCGTTTAATGTTACTTCTCTTTCTGCAGGTCCGTGGACAGTTCCACCACCGTTTTTGAGCCGAAACCAGACGGGCATAAGAGATATCTCTGGTGAGGCAGATAAGGATGCTATTATTATATTTTCTGTTTTTACCTTTTTACTACTTCTCTCTGTGTGTTTTTGTATTTTTTTTCACGGCAAACGGAAACCAGAAAGCTCAAATGGAATGAGTAAATCATATAAAGAATTCTTAAAACCAGAAGGGCATTACAAGGATAATTTGTCTCGAATTGTGCTTGATACACCTCCACTCCCACACCGGGAGCAAATAGGAGATGGGAGTATGCATCACCGCTTTGCGGGATGAGTGAGGAAAAAGAGGGTATGGTAATCAGGAGGAATTGTCAGAGATAACTAAAGAGAAAGTGGGATAAATATATATATATATATATATATTTATATATATATATGCTGTTATTTATAGCAGTTTTTTTTTTCTTTGTTTGTACTTGTGCCTTGTCAGTTTTATTAGTAGTAGAACGTTAGTTCTTTTTTCTCTCTCTTATTTTATTTTATTTTTTCTAATTGTATTGATATATTTTGTTTTTTTTGGTACCGAATCAATCTTAACTGTACAGATAGAATTCATTGATAAGAAGAAAGATTGGGAAGTTATGGTTTGGGTCAAAATATCAATGAATATTGGACCAAATTCAAATTTTTCTTTTCTTCTGGCTTCATTTCTCTTCATTTTGTTGTACTCTTTTTCTCTTCATCTTACTTAACAGAAACGCGGAACGCGGAGCTTATACTACTAGTATATTTTACCTAATAGTGAAAGGACGACGAAAATCGAAAAAAAAAAGAACACAACATGGATTCCACAGATGGAATTGAAAAACTTCTTATGATGGAAATGGAGCAAGAGGTTCAAAGAACGAAACCCAAACAGGAAAATAATTTTGCGATAGGGTCAACGCTACCTCCACCAGTAGAGATCACCCCAATAGATGACCACGCACAAAAAGAGGAAGAAGCCATTAGGGCAGAGATTGAAAGAAGACTAAGAGAAAAACAAGAAGAACGTTCAAAGGGAGAAGACATCCTCTCATTTTTAGCCTCATCAGAAGAACCCCAATTCCGTAATTACCATACCGATCCACAACACCCAGAATTCCTGGCAGATGCAGATCAACAGAATAACCATCATCATGAAGCTGAAGAACGTGCAAGAGAAGAGGCCCTTCAACGACAGCGTGAGGCCGAGGAGCGCGCAAGAGAAGAGGCCCTTCAACGACAGCGTGAGGCCGAGGAGCGTGCAAGAGAAGAGGCCCTCCAAAGACAGCGTGAGGCCGAGGAGCGTGCAAGAGAAGAGGCCCTCCAACGACAGCGGGAGGCCGAGGAGCGTGCAAGAGAAGAGGCCCTCCAA